GAGACTATTCATAAATTTAAGTCAAATTTAGAGATTACTTTCAGGCCCTGGCTTCTTCCATCCTCCCCTTTCCCTTCCCCCCTCCCCTGAATTATTGTTTGCAAAAAATTAAAACAAAATGGTTTGGGGTTTTCGTTTGTTTAAAAAGCAATTTGTACTCTGAAAATTGCCAAAATATAAGTTTTGGAAGGGTGGGGTCTTTTGAAAGGGCAGCATTGTCATTGCTGAATGAAAACCGCGGGGAGGAATGTGTCCTGGGAGACACAGGGCGCTGGGATGCAGGGCCTGGGGGACACAGCGGCAGCACAAAAGACCAGAACCACAGCTCCCACCGCACAGCTCCAGCCCGCGCCTCCCATTCACGTATCTCCTTTCTTTCTCCCAAACAGAAAATCCTGCCCGCCTTGACATTCTTCAACAGATTCTTTTGACCAAGTCAGTGTTTTTAATACGGAGATGCTTCTGCTGTAGTTTTTTTCACTAGGCTCCAAACCACAGCTTTCTTCTTTTCCGCTCCGGCCTTTTCCAGGTTTCTGAACATCTGCGTTTAAGTGATATCTGGTTATTCATATTGGAGCTTGGCAGCCCAGGTAGACACTCTTTGATGAAGGTCTGTACATCTGTGTGCAATAAAGTCAGCGAACAAAAGGCTTGTGAGGTCTTTGGCAAAATAAAAGAAAGAGGAGAGCAGGAGACAGCAGCACTGAGCTCAGTCAAGCAACTGGAGCCAGAACCTTTCATCAGAGAGGTCTCAGCACCTAGCCCATGTTTTGCCCAAAGCTGGGTTTGCACTGGGCCTGCAGACCATGCAGGGTTGTCTTCTCCACCAGGTGAAAGGCAAAGCGTAGGGAGCATGGGTGATGCCAGTACTGGGAAGTGATTCTTATTACAGCCGGCGAAGGCGTTCATAGAAAGAAAAGATGAGTTGCTAAAGAGCCACTTACTGTGGCGGAGAAATTCAAACCAAGAAGCACTGGCTGGAAATTAAAGCCAGGCCAATTCATGTTAGGAACAAGGCAAAAGGCTTTAGCACAGCAGGGGATTAACCGTTGGGCCAAGGGAGAGGTTGGGCGGGAGCTGAGCTTCCTGAGCGCCTCCGTCCAGGAAAAATCTGGCCGGGCAAGCTGCATGCCTTGCGCGCAGCACCCGGAGACCAAGCACAGATTCAGAGCTGGGGTCCAAAAGCATCATAACCTGCTGCTGTGTCCCTATCGGTCCTACCAGCAATAGCGATGTGCCCAGGCACTGCCCACGCTCAGCGTCTCTGGGTCTCTACCACCGGTTTTCTCCGAGGCTGTGATGGATCCCATCATGACTTGTCCCAGCCTCATCCCCAGAAAGGACTTACTGATGCCTAGATGGGTCAATTATTGCATTGCTCTAATTCTTCTGTCCCTATGTGCTATTGTCAGGAAAAAATAGGATGGCCATTTTCCTTCAGTCAGACCAAGCCTCTCCCACTGGGCATCTGCAAACACATCAGGCTGCAAATGGAGCTGCCAGCTAGCCCTGGCTGGTGGCCAGCAGTGCACAGCAATGGCCACTCAGGACCCAGGCACTCAGGGTGTGCACAGGAGACAGTAAATTCAGTTAAATCTGCTCTCCTTGGCTTAGTTTGGCCCCTTCTGTCTGCTCAAACAGGTGGATTGGGAGGGAGTGGGTGAGGGAAAAGCATCCATGCGTATGGGGTTAGGAGGCAATAGGTGCCCAGTGGATGCCCTCAGTGCCCTGGGAGTGCAGGTGGAAGGAGGGAACAGAGCCAAGCCTGAGGTGATGGAGCCAAAAAAAGCTGAGAAGTCATGGTGGAGGGGAGGCCGTCACTCCCTGGATACTTGTGGTGTTTGCAGGGGGGTTGCAGGGAGGTGAAGCGCAGGGATGCTGGGCACGGAGAAGGGCTCCACCAGCCCAAGCCTTCTCCCAGCTCGTTCACTCCCTCCCGAGAGAGTTTATACCCCGTCACACACAATCTTCAGGCCATTTGCTCTGGATGAGGACAGAGTTCCCCTTTTGGGGGAGCTCCTTGCAGCTTCTTGTGGGGTTCAGCTTCTTCCCTTCTCCAGACACTGGATTTTCCCATTCCTGGAAAATCAATGTAAAATTGATCCTGGCAGCAGGGCTGGAAGCAGCTCTGCACACTCCGCTTCTTCCTCCACATTCCCATGCAGCTGGTGGGACCAGCTGAAATATTTGCAAAGATCTTGAGAAAATCCCAGGAGTTCTGCTTTCCTGGCTTTGCAAAAACATTTCTGCTTATCAAGCAACCCAAAGAAATGCAAAGATTTTCACTCACTCTTCGGGTGGGCTCTGCTTTGAATTTTAAAAAGGGATTTGCCAATGCAATCTTGCAAAATGCTGGAGTATCAAATCCAGCTCTCCTAAGATAGAAGTTTTAGGAGGAGGTGAGCTTTCATGCTCATTGGAAGACATGCATTTGTGCTAGCTTCAAGGAAGAATGAGGTCTTCTGTGAGGCCGTGCCATGCCACCCCCTGGAGAAATGTCTCCTCATGTCAGTCAACAGGGACTAAATCCCGTGGTTTGTAGCACCAGAGGCAGAGCTGCTAGTGAGTCTCCAGGCTTTGATCGGTGGAGATGTGTCTGCACAGCCACAGGCTGCAGCAAGGAGGACAGACCCTCAGACTGAGGGACTTCAACCTTTTTTTTCTCTCCTTGAGCTGAGTCCTGAGGCCGTGCCATTGCTGGAGTTGTTGCCTTGGTGGTCAGCTACAGCCAAGAGGATGTCTTTCGTGTTGCAGACTGGTGTGCCTCTCAGACAGCCCGTGTCTGGGAGAAGGCTCTGCCCTGAGTGGAGGAACCAGCCCTCAGCCCTGTGCCTCCTGCACGCCCGCAAAGAGGGTTTGATCTCAGCATCTCGGCCACCTCTCTGTAAAACAAGGATTGGGACTTCAAAAAGGTCACATCCTTCCCGAAAGCTTAGCTGGTGCCTTCTGCAGGGCAAGAATCACCTCTAATCCCGTTTGTGGAGCCCTGGCTGCAGCAGGGCCACCGTGCTGGCAGGGGCTACTCGGCACGCCGCGAGCAAAGGAGCATCCCGTAGCCGAGCGGCTGCTGGGACGCTCCTGGGAAAGCACAAAGTGGTCTGCCCGAGATTCGGATGGAAGGGGAAGAACCTACGAGGAGGGACGCAGCAAGCGCCCGGTGCGTGCTCCCGCGCCTTTTAGATGCAAACAGGCTGTTAAAGCGCGTTTGCAGCATCAGCAAATCTGTCCGTGGGACCTGCCAGATCTAAAAAGCAGCGATTCCCTCTGCACGCAGGAGCGGTGTCTCCGGTCTCCTTGATGGTCGTCTCCTGTTTTGGGAAACAACAAATGCAGGCTGGTGGGCTGATCTAAGGAGAGGCAAACCGCAGTTCAAAGTCGTGGCCCCGCTCGGTGTCAGGAATCTCACTTCCTCACGGCTGGCAAACCGCTCTCGGGCCACTCTTCTCGCCGTTAGCACGTCGGTAGCTGCTTCTCCTGCTCTGCCAGCGTTTGGTGGGGACGTGAGGTTGGGCCTCACCACATCAGTGAGAGGAATTCAGATCTCCAAGCACGGAGAGAGCAGTCTCCATCCCGCTGGCTGGACGTGTCCGGAGGAGTTTGCTCTCCCCTTTGCTTTCGCGTTGCGAGTTAGCTGGGGATTGTTCCTGAGAAATAATCCGGAACTGCACTGTAATTTTCTGGGTTGAAATTTGATAATTAAGCAAATATAGCATGTCTTTGTCTTGGGCAAGCACCATAAGGTAAACAGGAAGGAATGAGGGATTAAGATGTCTCTGCTCTAAAGGAAGGTGACAAGCCCAGAGCCGTGACACCTCCGTGCCGAGCCGAGAGGCCCAGCTGTGGGTTGGCATTGCACAGATGCATTGTTCAGGGGCGAAGAGCAAATAAAAGCAAAGGGAAAAGAAAACAAGCTATAAAATTCTCAGCAAAGCACAGAGCCCCAGCAACTGCCTCTTGATGTTCCCATGACAGCTCTGGGGAGAGGCAGGCGAGGGGGGGGGGTTTTTAAGTCCCGTAATTGTCCCTCGCGAAGGCCCCCTGGTAAAATAGTCCCCGTGTTGACATTAGGCTGCATATGGGGGAGAAATTGGACATCTCCCGGCAGGTTCGGCCATGGCACACGCAATCAAAGCAGAGGGGGACTTCTCGGCATTTGACGAACCGGGCGTCAGGCTGGCCCCGTCCCAGCAGCGGGATGAGAGATGCGGAGGCAGAACTGAGGTTTTATCGGCACGTTGAGGGCTGCAGACACGTAAAAGAGCCTTGGGCCACAGGTACCAAGCACAGGAAGGAAAGCTGGGGAAGAAGCTACCTAGGCAGGTCTTGAAATTATATACAGAGCTCAAACACGCATGTGTCAGGACTGGTGAGAGTGGGAACACTGGGAAGGTCAGGCAGATGATGCTGGAAACCCCTTTCCCTCTGGGGTAGACAGAAGAGGCTCCCAGGGTGGTGGGAAATGGGGGGTTTTGCAGCAGTTTGGAGGGGCTTTGTACGGAGCGGTAGCGCGATGCGAAGCACCGCAGTGCGAGAGCAGCTGAGGAGGGAGATGAGCAGTGCTCGCACGGGGAAAACGCTTGCGAGAAGGCTGGAGGACCGGCCGGCGGGTTGTGCGTTGTCATTTCCTAACCACGGATGGGCTCCCTGCCCTCACAGCCCTGCCTGCACTCAGCTTTTAACTCACGTTAAGAGCACAGAGAGGCAAAAGGCATATTTGTTGCAAGTCACGATGGTGAAACGAGGTCTCGGTGACCTCAGCTTCCCCTCCAAAAAGATGGACTCACCACGTAGCACTGGTCAAGGAGGGATGTGGGTTAGCAGTTGGCTTCCTATAGCCAGAGATGCCAACAGAGCATCCCCTTCTGTGACACCCCTGGTGTGGGGGGTACCCCAGGCAGGACCTCGAAGGTGCCCAGCCCCATGCGCTGGGGGTCTCCTGGGGCTGGCACCTCCGTGGCTGGGCACAGATGCTGACGGTCTCCACTCTCTGCCTCTTGCAGCCTGAAACTGCAAACTCCACGCCAGGCGGTGCCGATTCAACCGGGAGATCTTACAGCTTTCCTGCCTCAACTGCCGGCACAACACGGCCGGCCGGCACTGCCACTACTGCAAGGAGGGCTTCTACCGCGACCTCAGCAAGCCCATCTCCCACCGCAAGGCCTGCAAAGGTACCAGGTCAGGGGTGGGAGGGCTGGACCCCACGGCTCCTTCTTCTCCGACCCCTGCCTGCCACCCCTGCTTCCAGAGCTCTTGCTCTCACCAGCTTCCTACTCCTCCTCCCTCTCCCGAACCAAGCCCTTGAAATGACTTCTCTTGCTCCCACGTTCCCGGCCATCCCCTCTCCCTGGTCTCCTCAGACCCCTGGTGAGGACAAGGCCACCGAAATACAGAAAGTCCTCACTGCTGAGCATGACTTGAAATCATTTCAGGTTTTATCACTTATAAATCATGCTTCATCTGCTCCGATAGCCACAGCTAACGTGGTCATCACGTTGTAAGGGCAGAGTTGCACAAATCCCAGGCACAGAGTTAGATGTAGTGCCTGTAAAGCAGCCTCCTCCTAACGCCCGTCTCCTGCTCCCGCACCGCTGCGGTGCTGGGGCCACAGGCAGTGCTTAACCCACGCATGAAACGTCACCCATGCACGAAACCTTGCACTCCCCTGGACAAGGCGAGAGCAGCAGAACGGGAAACAGTATCAGTCTGAGCTCAGCAAACGGAGCTCTGGGAGGTTTCCTCTTCTCCTGCGGTAGACGTGAAGGCAAGCGGGGCTGCAGCTGGGACGGGAGCAGCAATCAGAGAAAATCCTGCAAATAAGTTTTTTTAACTCTCAGCTGTCTGCTGGAAGAGATAGAAATCCTGAACCCGAGACACAGCTAGAGGAATCAAGCAAACATTCAAAAGCCAGATTAGAAGATGCTGGGGTTCCCTGCAGAAAGCTTCAGCTCTTCTCACTCTAAAGACTCGTTTCAACAAGAAACAGAAAGTGTTTTGGCCCGACCTAGGAATTTTTGTCTGGAAAGCTTTGGGTCTTTAGCATTTTTGATTTTTTAGTGAAAACGCTTCTTCACGTTTGGGTAGTTTTTTCATCCACTGAAAGCTGACACTTTTTGCCAAAGCAGAAGAAGAAATTGCTTTTTTAGACAGCCCTACTCCCCCTTTTTTCACCTTGTAAAAACTCTTTCAATGAGACATTTTCGACCCACCCTGCGCTGAGGCTGCTAACAAGCTACAGCTTCAGCCCAAGCCCAGGCTGGTGGGACGTGAACCGAGCCCGTGGCTCTTGTGGGGAGAGGAGCTGCTGTTTCGGGGTCCGAGGAGCCATCAGGAAGGGGTGCAGGGGGGCTGACTCCCTTCCACGCCAGCCCCAACACCCGGCATCCCAGCCGGACCCCCGCTTCCGCAGCGAGCTGCCTGCCGCCGCCGCGCCTTGTCCCCCGGTCCCGAGCGGATATGTGAAAAAAAGTCTTCTGTTTCGGGGCCCGGGGAGCCATCAGGAAGGGGTGCAGGGGGGCTGACTCCCTTCCACGCCAGCCCCAACACCCGGCATCCCAGCCGGACCCCCGCTTCCGCAGCGAGCTGCCTGCCGCCGCCGCGCCTTGCCCCCCGGTCCCGAGCGGATATGTGTCGTAATAAAGTTCATATTTCTGCTTTTGCGGCCGGGTCGCAGCCGAAGTAACAGCGCGTTCGGTTGAGGCAAACAAAGAGAAATTGTGAACTCATGGGCTCTCCCGGAGCGGGGCCAGGCAGCGATGCAGGCGGGCGTCCACCACCCCTGGGCAGCAGTGTCCTCGCAGAGGCATTTGCTGGTGTCCAGAGCCCGATTCTCATTTACCTTCCCGGTGTCCAGAAAGAGTTCTGGGATGCTGGCGTGATGGGGGGAATTTCCACCCCTCCCCAAGCACAGCTACCTCCTTCCTAGGGCTCTGGTTTATCCCGGCTGCCCCCCAGCATGGGGGCTCCTGGGGACACGGTGGGATTTGGGGGTGAGGAGTGCTCTTTCCCAGCCACGGTGTCACCGGACATCCGTAGGGATTCCAGTTCTCTGGGATCAGCACAGGGATCACGGAGCAGGGAGGGGATGCTCGTTGGAGGGTAGGGCACATCCCATCCCCTGTCCATCCCCAGCTTTTCTATCCTGGGAAAAGGCAGCCCCTGGCCTGCGTTGGCAGCGACGTGGAGGCTTGACCCCCTCTGTCTCGTTGACCCCGGCGTTTCCCAGGACCTTCCTCACTCCTGCTTTTCCCAGCTCTCCTCCCCGGGGCCAGGCAGCCTGCTCGCCCCTCCTGCCCATTTCTCCTCGCAGTCCCGCGGCCCCTCGC